GCACCAACTGGTTTCTGGATAGTAAAACATCAACTTGACAGTTTTCTTTTCCAGCAGCCATTGTACAGCACATAAAGCAGTAAAACCAACTGACCAAACATGCTGGAGCTCAGTGTGGGTTGCTTGGTAACAGGGTTGGGCTTATTGGGAGGTTTTTAAAACAACAATAACTTTGTAGCACAGCTGGTTTTCTAAATGAAGATCAGGGGCTTCAATCTCCACTCAGGGTTTTTCTGAACGCAGTTTGAGGCTCTGCCTGCGGGTTCTCTCCGGGTACTCCAGCTTCCTCCGACAGATCAGAAACATGGCTGCCGGGTTACTTTGTCTCTGACCCAACGGCCGCTGCTGAAAGGCAGCGGCTGTCTGTCCGCTCACCGGCCAAAGATGGGCACCAGGTGATGCTCGCACATGGAGAACATGTCGATGTCTTTGACGATCACCATCTCGTCGTGGTCTTCGTCAAAGATCGCGTCGTTCAGCACATCTGTGGACAAACAGGGAGCGAAACATCAGGGAAACAGTTAATCAGCTTCGGCTTTGATATTAGTGAAAATCAGCCCAGGTTCTGTTATTCTCTCTGACAGACATCGTGTCTAATTAAGGCTCCGTTTTCACCTTCCCGGTTTATTGCGTTTTTTTTGGTTCAATAAACAGTTTTATCTGTGCATGACGACGCAGGCGGCGCTCACTGCAGTCGCTGCTCTTTTTAATTTCCTGGCTGGATATCTGCTTGAGGCAGAGCGAACTGAAAAAGGTGAAGTCAGACAAACAGGAGACACCGACTTGTTGCTTTACTTTCAGATGCTTTTCTCTGAGCGTAAACAGCAAATAGGTCTATATTTAAATGTTTAATTATAATTAGCATATTTCCGAGTAATATATTTTAATTCCTAAACCTTATTTTATCCTGTTCCAATGAGGATTTACATGATTCAGCTAAATCTGACAGGAAGGAGCTCCAGTAGCAGTCAGTTTTACAACAATTCTGAAGATGCCTCTGACAGAAGACTGTCGGTTTGTGCTAACAGTTCAATACATGGGAAGCAGAGACAATTACATGTTCTAAACTGTTAGTAAAAACTGCTAATCCAGATCCTTTGCTTTTGCCTTTTCATTTAAAATCTGTCTTCAGAATAACTGAAAACAAAATAGAAAAATAAAAGAAATAAGAATATAACTGACTGTGTTGCTTTAGCAAAACCATTAAATACATTTATGGCTTTAGAATATCAGATAATCCTGCTCTTGTTTTTATCTTTTTGTCATTTTCTGCTGGTCAGAACTGATCAGAGCAGAAAATGATTCTAGAGTCTCAAATTACATTTGTCACTCAGTTGTGGTGAGTTACAGGCAGACTAGGTTAACAGAGCGCATTTAAATCTCTGGGTTGGTGTACGGTCTGCTACATCTCTACATTTGCTGTGACTGTAAAAATATTTCAACTGTGAAAACGAGCATAAAAATTAGCATGCTAACTCCTCAGGTTGGATTCTTTCATATTTTGCTCTTCAATTTCAAAATGACTGCAGTTTTTCAAGATGGACGACGTTTTATCAGCTTTTAAACTAAATATTGGCATAAAATGTTTCCCATTTTCTTGACTTGAATGAACTTCATGTCTTTCCTAGCTTCCATGAATGTTTTGTGTTTAGTAGTTTAATATTAGCATCTCCTTCTTGTTTTGTGTTGGTGTCTGCAAAAAAGAAGTTTAGCTCTTTAGTGTTAGCCTCATGCTGATTTTTTATGTATTTAGCAGTTCAATGCTAACTTCTGCTTATTTTATGTGCTTAGTGTAGTGTTAGCATAACTAAGGTAGTTGTTTAGCAAATTAGTGGTTGGTGTAGCTAACGTTTTGGCTAGCTGTTGGAAACGGGTTGGTCTGTTCATGGTGGGGAGCACAATGGCTGTTTAAATGACACACAAACACAGTTGAGTGAATTTAAAGAACAATTAGCTTTAGTAACAAACCATAAACTCACAATTGGACAAGACACACAATTAAGAAAATAAAATTTTACACAATAAAATACATAAAATATAAACAACAATTCTTGGCCCAATACTAAATCTCAATTTAAAATCTATTGGGTGCACCCTCTTAATGTGTACTGTAACCTTTTTAGGCAACAGATTAATTAAATTAAATCCCAATTCAGGTCTCACTCAAGATCATTCACATTAGGAGAATTTCCTAGACAGCAGTCTGTTGTAATAAATAAAAAAAGGTCTGAAAAGCAGTGTCCAAAATTTCCCGGAAACAACAACAAAAAATGTCAGTCAGTGTCTCATACATAACCGACTTTGTGCGAAGATGTGAGTGACAACTGCCTACCACACCGCAGGGTGCAGCAGGGTGCAACAGGGTTGCAGCAGGGTGCAACAGGGCTCCATACGCAAAGGACGAAATCCAATTCTCTCTAAGTCCAGGTGGGAAGGCTCGCCATCAAGGTCAATGGTGGAATCCACTTCGGGAAAGTTACATGGGGAATCCACCTCAGAAACAATCCAGAAGAAAAAAAAACCTTGATCTGTCAACAGGCAGGACTAGCAGAAATATAGGACTTTTATTAAACCGTTCTAGCTTATATCCTAAGATCATGTTTCATAATTGTTGTAAAATCCTTTTCCAAGCACAACAATAAAACATTACATTTACCCAAACTCAGCAAAGGTTTACATTTGAATAACTAAGTAGTTCAAATAAAGACTATCATTTGACAACAACAAGATAAAAAGAACAAAAACCCAAATGAAAAACACAAAATATGCTCACCAATCTTAGTGCGGCACATTCAGAACAACTATATAGTGACTCTTAGTCTGGACACAGGGCACTAGACAGTGTGAAAGGGATATTTTTCAAGTTTGAACTTCAACAATATGAATTTAATGAAATAAAAATAGATTATTATTTAGGCTTGACCTTCAGTTGAACTGAGAACAACTGCCAACCAACTGCCAGAAAGAGCCAACAGTTCCAACTGATCTTAACGGCAGAAAAACTGAAGTTCAGTTCAACTGAAGACATATATAATCTATTACAAGCACGGCGGCCATCTTGAAAAATGTCCACCAGACAAATGAAAAACAAGCTCAAGAAAATAAAAATATGTAGATTAATATTTGACACCAAACACATTTAAGCGCATTTAAATTGATCATTTAAATGCCAAAATAATTTTATTTTGTGACAACCCTGGAAGCCATCTTGAAAAATGCCCACCATCTTGAATTTTTCAGGAGATAAGGTTTTTTTTCCCCCAGAAGAAAGCCTCTGTGAACATATGCACCAAGTTAGGATCTTGTAGCCACATGAGAAAGATGAATTTTAAATTTTCTGCTCTCTATTTGTCTTTGACTCATTGCGTCTCAGTCTGGGGAAATGACGTCTGGTCTCTGATGGCTGGATAAATGAATCTGAAGTGGGCGTCAGTCAGCTTGGTGATGGAAAGGAAAGGTGTTTATCGGGTAATGGGAGCGTTGCTCTCAATCAGCCATCATCTCTGCACACAAGCAGACAAACCCAGCTGAACGGAGCAGGAACAATTACCCATTCATTCCCACTCAAACAGCCAAATGTGTCACGTTTATGTTTTTCCCTTTATGACTCAGATTTCCATCAACGGTGTAACCCAGTCGGGGAGGCGTCTGCTTGGGTCCAAATTAGTTTCAGAGAAGGGCAGCGAGTCCAAACATGCAGCCAGAAGTTTTTCTGGTGATTAAGTCACAGATTGAGTCTCGGGTCAAAGATCCTCTATATTTACAGACAGAGGACTTTAAATACGTTAAGGATCTTATTGTGAACAAGCATCTAAAAACATGTTTACTTTTCATTAATCATTCATTTTAATTAATATGAAAAACAATCATAAATAAGAGTTAAAACAGTTTTTTTTTCTTTTAGTGCGTTAGTGGAAATGAGGGAAACCACTTTTATTTACTGACGAGATAATTGCTTCATTATTTTTATTTTTGATGAATATTCTACCAAACAAAAAACTTTAAAATTAAATCAAACAAAATGCATTTTTATCGTGATAAACCAGCACAACACACACAAAAAAATCTAACTATTTTTGGTGAAGTTATAGTGCAAATATTTAAGTGCATTTGAAATAAGAAAACTTACAAGTAGCTTAAATAAGATAAGAGCCGATTTTAAATGAATAAATCCTTAATGTTGCTGAAAAAGGACTAGTTCCACCGGCTGATTATTTCGCTAATAATAGATTTGTCCAATTTTATAAGTGAAATAATGTTCCAATTATTACTTTTAAAAATAAATATTAATGAGTTAAAACAAGTTCAGATGTCTTGCTGAAAAGATTCTTGTAAGTTAGTTTGCTTGAAAAAAAGTAAAACTAAAATATTTTCACCTGAAATAAGATAAAAAAATATTTATGTTTTGCAGTGAAGGATCATAAATATAAAGAAACTTTCTTCAAAATGTCCAATAAAAATCTGAAAACTTTGTCAGGAAATGTATTAAACCCCATTCATTGGTAAAACCCATGTTTGTCAACGTATTTTTATATTTTAGCTGAATTTTCCTCTTTAGGTCCTGCAGCCGACAACAGGAGGATTTAACCTTTGACCTGCACATGCATATGAACAAACATCTGAACGCTCCAGCTAAACAACGTGACACTTTTACGTAAAAGCAATCTTTATAACCATCTCTGTGTGTTTTCAGTTGTTCTTTACCTCCCAACAAATGGAGGGGAGGCTCCAGCTGCAGCCTATCAGCAGGAAGGAGGCGCACCACCTCCGTCTCGGTGGCAGCTGACAAACGCAACCATCATTATCTGCATCACCTTCTGCCCCGTCCAAGAGCCGCTCCAGGCAAGAGGCTTTCAGGTGATATGAGACGGGAAGAATAAGAATCACCTGCTTTTCTTGCAGCGCATATTTCCACCCGACGCATTCCTTTCTTTATAGCTTCAAGCACACTACAACCCCCACCCATGACAGCAAAACTACGTCCAGATGGGGCTGTGAGGGGGCAGATCCCCAACTCCAGCCACTCCGTGGAGCGCCGAGAAGTCCTCCCAGTTGGACCCAACAACCCCGACCCGACGCCGTTACACTGCAAAAACACAAAATATCGCCACGATTTTTGGTCCAGTTCCTTGTGCAAATATCTTAGTGCAACTTGAAATCATGCAAAACAAACTTAAAGTAGCTTTTAAGCGAGACGTTTGTTTCAGGTCAAGAATTTACTAACATTGACGAAAAAGTTCTTGTAATATGGGAAACATGTTTTGTTATTTTGCCAATGGAACTAAACGTTTTCCCTTCAATATGAAATAATTTACCTGAAACAAGTTCTGATATCCTCTGAAATGTTATTTGTAAGTTAGTTTTGCCTCATTTCCACTAGAGACTGGACCAGAAAAACTTGGTAATATTTTGCTTTTGTGGTAATTAACCTGGACCATCAATGGCAATAGATAATACATCTGATCAGACAGAATATTCAAAATATAAAATATTCACTGAACTCTGATCCAGAACCGCACAGCATTCTGGGAAACGTAGGAAGAAGAAAGACTTTCACTGCATTGTTTAGAAACTCTGGTTCAAACTCTGATCCATCTTCAAACGTTGGTCTCGGTTCGGTTGAGTTCTGGTGCCAAGCAAACCGGAGACCGCTCCGAAACCAGTAAGCGGACTACAGCGCAGGGAATTCTGGGTAAATTAAGTTAAGGAAACGCACTAGCCGAGCGCTAATGGGAAAAATGTCTCATGATCTTTTTCCAAAGAAAAATGCAACAACTGCTAAAATCTGACACGGCTCCATTTCTGTTTGAAGGTTAATGTCTTCTTCAATGGTTCTTGGTGCAGCGCCCCCACAGGCGAGGAGGGGAAAAGGTTTTTCAAAAAGTTTGGTTTGTTTGAGAACCGCATGAGCTGAAATGTAACAAATGTTGCAATCAAACCTAATCTACCAGATTATCAGGTGTGAAAACAGCCCAGGAGTCTGGATCTATGGCGTCTCATTCATGCCAACATTTGTAACTCAGCCTGAGACATTTGAGTGATTAAAATCTGATATTGTTTTTCTTAAACCTTTGGGTCCAGTGGTTTGAATCGAGCTGAAAAAGGATAAAAACACACAAACAAACAGAACTAAGCATGTAATTATGGAGCCGAGGATTTAGGTTCATCTAATCTGATTAAGAACTTAGACTTTTGCACAAGTTTTGTTGTTATTTCACAAGACTTCACAGGAATTTATTGTAAAATAAGTGCATAATGCAGAGGGTTCATTTAAATCAGCCTGAACAACAGAAACTCTGGGCCGACGGGTTTCAGCAGATCAGTTTGTTTAGTGTTTTATGGCTCAGAGGCTTTTCCCCTAAATCAAACAAGTCTGAATCACTGAACCTGGAGGTCAACTGAGGTCAACTGGAGCGTTTTTGGAAGACAACGTCCATTATATTTTATTAAACTCTTACTAACTGAATTAAACCCACATCCCTGGCAGACGAAAGTAGTTTTATTTTTATTTCTTGCTTTTAAGATAACTAGAATTTAATTGGCTCTAGTCTGATCTCTGAATATTCTGTCTGAAAATACATTTAGATTTTTTAATTACAATTATAAATGAACAAAAAGTGAGATCCTAATTTACTTCATGACTCGTCATACTTTAATGGTATATTTTTTAAATATATATTTCAGATATCTTGAACTGAAGTCTCCATACAAATAAATAAATATGAGTCGGAATAAATTATGATCTCTCAAAAAAGTATTTTATCAAGTCAAAATATAATTTAATTTACTAATAAGTCTAGTCATAACGCTATTTCAGAAATCTTATGGATTGCAGGTGCAGTGAAACCGATTTATGTTAAAACGGCCTGCCATACTTCCGTATGAATCTGACGTCATTTAGAGTAGTCAAAGCGTAATTACAGATGCCTTGTATTACTAATCTGTCAAGTCATAAACCAATTTAAGATATGTGAAATCAATTATATGTCAAAACGGTCTGCCGTATAATAAATCAATTAACACCTGAAGTGCAGTGGATTTTATGTGATAACGGCCTGCCATAGAGGCGCTCTATAGGATAGAGTTCGGCTCAACTCTTTCATCAAATGGGTCAATAAGTGATCAGCAAAGACACAATGAGAAAGTATCCAGTAAATGAAGCGGGTTTTTTCAGGAGTTCAGATTTTCCACCTGTTGCTCCTCTGAGCTGCTCCGGCTGTGAAAACAAACTCACCGATAATTTTCTCCTGGTATCCCTTGGTGAAGAACTGCATGGCGGTGGCGGCCCTCCAGGGGGTCTTCAGGAGCCCCTGGCGCTGCGGGTCCTCTCCCAGCCCCCGCAGGATGGTGGTGTAGGCGGCGGCCAGCGACGGCAGGCTCATCTCGTTGTCCTCCAGGCTGCGGGTCCGCTCCTCCTTCCAGCTCTCCATCACCGAGCCGGTGGCCCGCTGGGACCCGGTGGCCCGTTGGGATCCGGGCTGGGACTCGGGCTGGGACCCGTGCTCCGCCGCCGGCCGCTTCCCCATCCCGTCAAAGTGTCCGTTGAGGACGGCGCTGTCCGCGGGGGAATCCTTCCGGTCCCCCGGGCTGAACGCTGCCTTCTGCTCCATCCCGCTTCCTGCTCCGTCAGATCCGCCGGTTCAACCAGTTTCTCTTTTCTTTGGACCAGACGCGAGTTCAGAGCCTGACGAACCGGTCCGGATCAGATCAGGACTTCAGCAGATGCGCGTTTCTGAGAAAGTGAAGCGCTCAGCTTCAGCACCGGCTTTATAAGGGCCGGATTATCCGGGGAGCGATCCTATTGGCTGCGGAGGCTGGGAGGGGGGGGCTAAAGCATCACAAACACCGAGGGTCTGAGGAAAATAAACACATTTCAGTTTCAAAAGTCAAAACTTTTCTTTGTGAAACTCACAAATTTTCATGTTTTTTCTAACAATTTTCATAACTTAAAACCAATTTGTTTTTATAGTAAATATTGGGAGATTAATCTCAAAATGTTTGTTTTTTCAAGCAAATTTTCAAACTAAAATGTAAAAAAAATTTTTTTTTTTTTTTTGCAAATTATAATTCTTTCCCAGATGCAGTTCACACCCTGACAAACTTGCCCGGTAACAGTGCTTGCAGATATGTGACGTTTCTTTCCAAATGTTTTTCAAGCGGCTCATATTCCAGACACCATAAAACCGTCAGGTATTTCCAAAACCCGGCTTGTGTGCGTTTGGTTTTTATCTTCTTGTTTTCAGAAGCAGTTAAGACGCAAGTCAAAGTACAAAAAGGAGCAAAATTAAAAATGTTGGGTATTTTTCAAAAGGCATTGTTAATTTGCAAAGAAACAAAATTAATTCACACTGAATCTGAATTTTAATATTTATTAAATTGCTAAAATACAGAAAAGTTTTAACAAATTGAATGTAAAAAAGAACCAGATTGCCATCAATCTTTGATCCAACACAGAAACGGGTAACTCGTCTCAAAACATCTTTTTCCACATGTTTCATGGGTAAAACATTCAGTTTTGCTGAATGCGAACGCAGACAGCTTGGAGGACGGGTCCAGGCCCGACGGCTTCTTCCTGGCGTTACTTTCATCGCTCTCCGCCGCGTCGTTTTCTGCTCTCTTTCTTTCTTCACGTCCGCAGCGTCTCCGCTTTGTCCTTTCGCTCTTTCTGTCCACGACTGAAACAGAAGACGCCAAGACGTTAATTGCAGTTCGGGACAAAAACCCAGAGATTTCTACTCAGTCCAACGCAGGCGGCGAACACCTGCACGGCGATGACTAACGGCGCACACGGACACTCAGGCTGGAAATTACATCCTGTCATGTTTAATCACTATTGACAGGCGGCGTCTCTCTTCCCCCTCGTGATTTTATTTTTCTCTCTCCTCTCAGAGACAAAAGGAAGCATTTCCTAGACGTAATAGATCTGGGATGAATCATCGGGCCGCTGAGTGGAGACACACACACACACACACACACACACACCACCAGCAGCGGTCGTTAACGGTAACAAACCAGTCTGACGTGAGAAGCAGCGGCTTGTTGCTAATCTGACCTCAGGGTCACAGATGTCTGTATCAAACATCAAATGTCATTTTTTCACTTCTTGGTTGATTTTCAATAAAACTTTGAGCCAAAACGTAATTTTATTGAATTCAGATTTTAATTTTAAATAATTTTAAATATTTCTCTGGTAAAAGTTCAATGAAAGTAAAAGAAGCTCAGGTACGGACGGCCGAACGGATAAATCGATTGATTGCAAACCTTCAGAATAAATAGATCAGGAATAAAGTCTGGAGTTAAAATATTCATCCAGATCTGGAACTGACACCAGATTCTATAATTTTCCAGACAAAAACATGGAAACCCAGAAAATACACAGCCAGAAATAAAAATTATACTTATGGCTGTAAATTCAGTAAATATAGAAAAGTTTTAACGCAAATGTATTTATTTAGCTTCCAGACTTTTGAGGCTCTTTCTTGTTTTTCTCTTACTTTCTTTAAATAAAGATAAATATTTCTCATATTTAAAGAAAGATAAATATGAGAAATATTTATCTTTCTTTAAAGTCGCAATCTTTATTTTTATATATAGATAAATTTGTAAAGGTTGTAGGATAATAGTGCACTGCTACACTGTGCGCCCCCTGTTGGTGAAGGGAACCCAATGCAAGTGTTTGTTCATTTTTTTGTATCAATAAATATATTAAATTTAAAGTATCTAATCCAAGAAACCCCTAAAATACAAAACAGCGGATGAAAAGAAATGTCGTTTCCTCTCCTGAACATCAACAGCTGACAGCATCATCACAGGATGGTCGGGTTCCCAGGCAACGACTCATCCTCCTCATCCTCCTCTTCGCTTTCTGTTCTGAATGATCCGGTTTCCCGCTGACGGACGTGATGTATGCAAGATCAGGAGCAGGAAGATGAAAAGTGAAGCGACTCAATTGTGACACAGCTGCCCTCGTTTTTCCTCCTCACTGACCGACGGCGATACCGTCCAAAAAAACCAACATTTGAACAAATTTAGTTTGGAAATGTTCGTTAGCTCTGCTCATTTAAAACTGACAGATGCTCCTGGGGTTTAAAACAGTCAATATTTGCTTTCACAACCAATTAATTCATGTCTAAAACTGATTTTACATGTTTTACCTGGAGGGGATAAATTGTAGAAAAGCTAAACCAGGGATGTTCAAAGTGAGGCGCGAGGGCCAAATGTGGTTCAGACAGACTTTTTGTGGCCCTCAGAAGAATGGTGCATATTTCTCCATTTCTTTCTCTGGTTAATAGTTTACAAATCATGTTAATCATCATGATTTCACTTTCTTTTTAACCCCTTAGCTGTCATGATGGCAGTGACTTACAAGTTTTGACTTAAAATACTTTGACTTGTATGTAAGCATTTTGAGGGTGGCTCTTAAGGAGTCAACAGTAAAAAGTAAGACAAGTTTCCAGTAATTTTAATTCAAAAGCAAATGCAGATGGACCTTCGTCCAAACTTTTTTGGGGCCAATAATGAATCAACATGCTTTTGATAACCCTCATGCAATGTTAGCATTATAGCTAGAATTAGTATTTTAACAAATTTTAATGAAAGTTACAGTTAGCATACTGAATGGCGTGAGCTCACATTCAACATGCTAGTGTTAGCCAACAGCATTTGCTTTGTGGCTATAATTAGCATTTTAGTTAGTATTGATAAAACAGCCAAGTTTAGCATTCTAAATGAAGAGTCAATGTTAGTCAAAACGTTAGCGAAAGCTACTGGCAACATTTAGCTAACCTTAGCTAAAGTATAGTTTGAGTCACTAAAATGGGGAACTGCTTTTTGTTCTGCAAATGACAGAAATCACTGATGCCAAATAAAAACATTCAGAAACGATGTAAGCCCATATCATGACAATAACTCCACCAGGCTTTCCATGCTGGGAATATTGAGTTCCACTTTCGTACAGAGGCAATACGCTCTCTGGGGATTTCAGTCACATTTCTCTATATGGATGAATTGAATTAATATTTTTGTACCAGTCTCTCGTCTGCTGACAGCGTCCTGAATCGTCCCATCGCCTCTTTGATGACGTCCGCCTCATCCAGGTCCGGATTATCGGCGATTATAATTTTCCGGTTCTCATCCAGCCACAACTGGAAGCCGTTTTGGCCTTTAAACAAAAAGAGTTTTTTAATTTCTTTTTTTAAACGCCAAAGTTTCACTGATCTGCTCTTCCTTTAATATACTCCACCTCTTATTTTCTGTGTTTTCTGCAGGTGGCGCTGCAGCGTCAGGCTGTTTCTGCAGATCTGTGGCCGGCTCCACCACCTCTGGAGTTTTCTTATTGGCCGACTTGTTGCTGGAGATCTGCAGCAAAGTTGACTGAGCCTGTCGGACAAAAGCACAAAAAATAAAAATTAAAGACCTTCCGCTTTGCTCAAACAGATCAAAAATGTCATAACACGAAAATATGATCCATATTAATTAAAGTTAGTTATGTGTGGATATAATTTGTTTTAAAGACGATGATGTCACCAAGTTATTTGTGGATGAATCTGACAAACTGTTCCAAGTTTTTTTTAAACAATATTAGAAACGGCTGAATAAATCGAACAACAATCGATTAATCGCGATTAATCGTTTCAGCAATCGTTACCTTGGCTTTGGTTCTGGGAGCCAGTGGCTTGAGGACGGGGCCTTTGCCTGCTGACCCGCTGAGCGGACCCAGCTTCCTGCTGGACCTCATGTTGTCCAGGATGTTTGACGCTCGAGGTCGTCCGGACGACGACTTGCCAGAATCGGCGACCTGAACGCATCGGATTCAACCCACAGTTAGTGTTTACGCTCCCAAACGTAGCCTGGTGCAGAAACGCGCTGCGGTTCTCACCTTGAAGGGGTTTGATCTTCCAACTCGACCAACTGGATCAGAAAGAAGCAAAAGATTCAGGAGCTTTGATCAGATAAATGAATGAATGGATGAATAAATGAACATATAAATGGGTGAAGTTTAATTTTTTAGTTTTCCTGATGCAATGCAGAAGTAAAACTTTGATAAGACCCTTAATAAACTGATACATCTTATTTTAACCAGAGTTTAACTTCAACATGTCTGAAGTCCACAGACAGACGATGCAGAAGCAGCGACGACACGCTGGCGGTCGGCTGCATCCTGGACTCACTTGGCGTCAGCGACGGCTTCGCAGGCAAACCCGACTTTTTAGCGAAAGGATCCAAACCTGAGAATCAAAAGGGAACCGTCAGCCGGACTCATCCACGGTTTGGGAAGAGCCAACAGAGGAAAGGAGCTGAAAACTCACGTCTTTTAGTTTCCTCTGTCTCCGTTTCCCTCCCGTCCTCTTCCTCTTCTTCATCGTCCTCCTCCTCGTCCCGCCTCGTGTTGCAGGCTTCTCTCTGCTGATACCTGGACAAATAAAGTTAAAGGACGTTCATGGATATAGAAAATCTGGAAACATTTGTTCAATTCCAGATTACAGACCATTTAATCCAGAGCTGCAACTAATGATTATTTGATTAATCGATTGTTCTGGTGATTAATCTGATAAATGGCCAAATTCTGCAGATTTTTCATTTATTTACATTCTATTTTAAATACATTAAAGATGCATTTTAGAAAAATTTAATTAATTTTTTATAATGAAAATAAACATTTTGTTTCCAAAACAGTAATGAAGTTAAACCTCCACTTAAATAGTTTTGGGAAAAACATTTTTACAGAAAAGGTGTTTTTGTCTTAATTGAGAAATTATTTATA